GAGCCACAGCCAGCGACAACCGCTTGTTTGTTTAATGCAATCATGAATAGTGTGGGGAAGGTTGTAAGGACCCAAATTCTACCCTTGACAATTTTTCATTTATTTTAATCATTTCTTACATACAGTCGTCACCTTCATTAAAAACTCGCAAGTATCTCTCTTTGAAAATACTCTTTACCCTATTATATTATCATATAAATTTATGTTGCGGAAAAACATAATTCATTCAGATAGCCTTTATCACATACGTCCAGTTATGGGTTTTCCAGAGTTATAACGTCCATAACTACATGTCATCATATTATCCTAATCAGATTACATTTATCCCAAAATACTATCAAATCAACTACAATGTCAAATAGCAATAAAGACAATCGAGTAAATAAACACAAAAGCTTCCTAATTGAGCTTCATCCTCAAAATCCTTCATTTACCTTCAATGGGATTATCATAAACAACACACAAAACAAAAGGGAGTAAGTCATTAGTTCAAAACTAACATCACATGATAATCCACATTTCAAATACGATTAAGCTTTAATATAATTTATAAACACAATTACGTAAATGCATATATTCATATCTTCTTTCGTTCATTTCCACGTTATCCATATTCATCCTATAGAATATATATCCCATAATATATATTCTATAGCATGCATATTACGTTCATTCGAAGCATCGTTCTTCCCATTATTCATATTCACACTATAGTATATATATCCCATATTATATATCCTATAGCATGAATACTACTGTTATCCTTAACGTCATCATTTTCAGCATTCATATTCACCCTATAGTATATATATCCCATAATATATATTATATAGCATGCATATGACTTTCGCTCTTAACGTCCTCGTTTCTCACATGTGTATTCATCCTTAATCGTATTCATCGAGCCCTTTCACGAATATAATCCCCTACCACATCGGGTAGGTCCAAATCATTATCCATACCACGTAGGGCAAGTCGTACACAATACCACATAGGGCAAGTCATACACAATACCACATAGGGCAAGTCATACACAATACCACATAGGGCAAGTCATACCCAATACCACATAGGGCAAGTCATACGCAATACCACATAGGGCAAGTCATACGCAATACCACATAGGGCAAGTCATACGCAATACCACATAGGGCAAGTCATACGCAATACCACATAGGGCAAGTCATACGCAATACCACATAGGGCAAGTCATACGCAATACCACATAGGGCAAGTCATACACAATACCACATAGGGCAAGTCATACACAATACCACATAGGGCAAGTCATACACAATACCACATAGGGCAAGTCATACACAATACCACATAGGGCAAGTCATACGCAATACCACATAGGGCAAGTCATACACAATACCACATATACGTAATCAGAAAATCCACACATTTTCTATTATCATATACCATTAATAACTTCTCCTTACTAACACTTTACCTCTTTCACATACTTCACTCATATCGGCAAATATGATTTAGAGACACTTATCCCTTACCTTGGTGAGTGTTGGGGATCGGTTCCGGATAACTTTAAAAGTCTCCTCCGCGATTCCCTCCAACCTTAGGATCTTTCCTCATTTCCACCAATAACAACAATGTCAGTCATTTATTTAAAATAACACATAAATAACTCGTATTTCATCATCAAACATACAAGGGATTCACATACATTCAAGATCTCCAAAACTACTTCAATATAATTTTTCAAACATCTAAACATACATGTTCATCTCTTTCTCTTTATACCCATATTCTCATTTTGGGTTTTTGGGGTTTTCATGAATAACCCACATAACATTTCCATTCATCAAATACCAACCCTAAGCCAAGAGTTTACAAGAGAAAAACAACATAAAACGAACCATAACTCTAAAGGGTGAGTTTCCATGGTTTCTCATGTTTTGAAAATAGATCCAACATACCCAAAACAAGTTAAAGAGGAAGAAGAAGAAGAGTTAGAAGCAAGAGGTTTACCTCTTCTCAAGCTCTAAGATGAGTCATAAGGCTCCTTGCTCTTAAAAAGCTCTTTTCTCTCTCTTCTCTTTAAGTTCTAACCCTAAAATGTGTTTTGGGAGCAGTCGTCGGGTGTGTAATCGATTACCATATGGTGTAATTGATTACATCAGTTAAAAATTTAAAATACAAACTCAACGACTTGATGTAATCGATTACAATGTTAAAAATGCACATATTTGATGCTTTTAATATGTTATAATTGATTACGAGTATAGTGTAATCGATTACATCATGTAAAATACACAGGTCTGATTAGTTTATCAGCATGTAATCAATTACCAGGATTGTGTAATCGATTACACTGTTTTTTTTAAAAAAAAAACAGAATCTCACGTGTCAACAGCCCAAAATTGTCATTTCTCACCCAGGCGAGAATCCTCCAGTATAGCCCAGGATTTCACCCTCCCAGGTGATCCTTTCTCGCTCAGGCGAGAATCTCTCGCTCAGGCGAGAATCTCTCGCTCAAGCGAGGTTTCCAGGACTGTTACTATAATTTTGAAGACTCAAATTTAGGGTGTTACAAAGGTTTCCCTTAATCTTTGTTCGGCAAACCAAATATTGTTCCAGAATTGAGTTTGAGTTATATCACCTATGAGCCCCTCACTCTACCTAAACCTTTCCACCACCTCGTAGCAATTGTTAAGGTCGATGTCCTCAAGTAAGTTCCATACTTGGAATTATTCACCTTTACCTATAGTGATTCAGGTTCCACCAATCTTCTCCACTTCCACTTCCCGAGAAGAGAATCATTCAAGATAGAAAAATTCTTTACTCGTAAACCATATAAATTTGTTGGTTTACACACCTCATCCCGTGAAACCCAAGATATACCATTGCCTTCTTAGCTTCGTCAACTTAGTTAGTACCTTTTTCGTTGTGTTGTAGAAAGATTAGGGGTGTTTGTAGTCCATTTGGATCATTTTTAGTCAAAATATCATCTGATTCAAACACGTAATTAACATGTGGTATAGTCTGATCTGGTATGTTTATATTAAGATGTTCGTTACAATCTGGTCCAAATATTATATGCGGTTTCAATTCGGTTTCACATACACTCAAAACTCATAAAATTGACTAAAAATTAAGCATAAAACAACAATAAAAATAGTGTTCAACGACATCAAAACAACATTAAAAAAGTATCCAACAACATTAAAAGTAAACTACAGCAAAAGACAATAAGACAACAATAATAAAGTAAACAACAACAGCAATAGTAAAGTAAACAACAACAACAACATCATGAACAACGGCTATAACAACAACAACAACAATATCAGCATGAGCAACGACTATAACAACAGCAACAATAAGGCAACAACAAAAATTTTGGTATGATCTAGATCCAACAACAACAATAAGACTATTTTCCATCAGTTTTCGGTTTTATTTTTGGACCGGTCTGGAATCGAACACCCTAAAATATTTTGTATGTCATTTTTAATTAATTGAAATTTGGACATGTGATTTTTAAAATTGATTTTTTCCTTTAAATAGATAATAAGTAATCATTAACTCACTTAAAATATCTTTTTATTTTTATAAATAAAACTAAAATTTGTGGGAAAATTATCTTGAATTAGTATCTCATCATCATTGATCTAATTAGGTGATCGTTAAATATCATTTTTTATTTTATTTGTAAATGAAATCAATATTTGGGGAGGGAGGTTAACTTTGAGTATGTATCTAACCTCTTAAGTTATATATGTCCTCCCTCAAATAGTTTTTCCAAAAACAAAGTGTTTCCATTATTATTATTTTTGAACCAAATCTGATCAAAAAAAAATTATATCACATCAAATGGTTTTTAGTATATATTTTCGTATTTATCATATTATAGAAAAAATATTTTGTCAGCAATTATTTTGTTGGGCTTCTTGGGCCAGACAAAATTGGGTATTCATAAGGGTTAATTAGATTGTAGTAATTAAAATCATATTTGCCACCCATTTAAGTTGAGATGTGATATTGGACATAGGGTTATACTCTCTTAAAATATATAAGAAAATAGTGAAAAATAGTAATCATCAATTTACACCTTAAAATAATCTAAAAAAACTTAAAGATTGGAAAGTATATGAGATATTGATTGAGCTTTCCCCCTTCTTAAGATGAGATGTGGAATCATACATACGGTTATGTTTCACTCATTTAAGTAGAGATGGCGGACTAAGACAAAATATCACTTCTTTTTTTCAAACCTAAAAATAAAAAGTATCCAACAAACAAAAATTTTATACCCAAGAACTATGTAGTCCCCATTCCTTATTACTCATGAGTATATAGGTGTAATATTCTATCTTTTCATACACAAATAAAAAATAATGTTTTTCCTCTATAAATAAATAAAAAAATCAACTAATTTTATAGGTGTAAAATAGTTCATGTAATTAGTGATGGTACTGTCTAGTACAGACGGGCAGAGTGCTAATACTTTCTACGATCCGTAATTGACTCTTAAGTCCAAACCTCTAATTCAAAGACTAGTGTGTTTCAACAAGGGGTAAAAAGAGGGGTTTCCATGTTTTTACCGCAAAAACAAAATGGAGACTTCAATCAGTCATTTATCCAATGTTCAACCAAAAGGGAAGTTATTGTGTTGACTCATTGAGAAATAAATTTTTCATTATCATGATCGCATTCATCTCAGAATGTGAAAATGAAAGGGAAATGTGAAAAAAAAACTATCAATTTAATTCCAAAAAAAAACATACTAACCTCCCCCAAAATAAACTCACTTCTAAATATCTTTCATCTCTAAATTTAAACCCCAGGCCTTTGTAAACGTTTCCAAATAAAAACATAATACTTATAAACCTTTCTCCATTCCCTTCATCCTTGGTTGAAAACATGTCTTCATTTTCTTCATGGCTCGTGAGTTAGCATCTTCATTTCTAAATATGTTTTAGGTTTTCGGTAGTTCTTCATTTTCTTCATCGTTTCTTCATTGCTTCCAACTGAATTTGATTCATCGCTGGTTCATCGTTTATTCGGTATGATTCAACCTTTCTCTTCTCTTTGGTAACCATTTCTTTTGCACTTTGTAATTGATTTATGTGTTTGAATTGATTTTTATGTGTTGCAAGTTTTTTCATAATGAACTTTAGATGAGTGGATTATCACTTCTCTCTCAATCTCTGAATCTTGCTAAAGTGGGAGGATGATTTCATTCTCTATCCATATGATGGATTAGAGAATGAATTTGCTACTTATTCTACTTTGCATTTAATTTGCTACTTTTATATGCTGGATTGTATTTAGGAATTATTGCTTCTTCTATTCAACTTATGCAAGGATAATGCTCAATTTTGTAGTGTGTTAATTTGATTGATGGTGTCTGTTTGCTTCTTCTATTCACTTTTCTTATCTCTAGAAATCTCTCCATAACCATGGTGAAAACCGATTACAAATTGTGGCAAAGAACAAAGCAAGGAAAAGTTGATCTTTATGATAACATATGTTGAAAAAGAAGATGGTTCAAGCTTGAAGGTATAGCTGCACACCAAGTGTTTGATAAAATTTGAGTGATTTGAACAATAATTAGATTTAATTTTCCCAATAGCAATGACTCTTGGAAGAGCTAATGTATGTATAGATTCATTCATGTATAAATATTTAACTTATGAAAAAATAATTATGATAACTTTTGCTCTTCCAATCTAAACTGAGGCCAGATTCGTGCATGGAAGAAATGGGAACAGAGCCATCTCGTTGATGAAGACGCCTTAAATGGTACATCAACTTCTTATGACTAATATAATATACATTTTCATGCTTCAAGTTTTGACATCTCAAATAATCATTGGATTTATTCAATGTATTTGCTTAAATGCAACCTTGTCTTTTAAGTTCTGGATCATTACTATAAATAACCCAAAAATTTCTAAAATCTTATATGTACGGATACATATTTAATCAAATCAAAAGCTTAAGAAACCTCTGATTGATTTATAGGATTTGGTTGTTATAATATTCTTTATTTCAAAAAATTATTTAATATTGTTAATTATAATTTTGTCATTGGGAAATAAAACAAATCTTGGTCCTATCCTATAGGGAAGATTGATTACTTGAAATCACATATTAGGTGGCGTATGAAAAACTCGAAGAATGTGCCGATAAATGTTGAGGTGTATAGAGCATTTGTTTAAGTAATAACTCTTAACTAAGGATGTATCTTATAACTGCTCATAAAAAATAATAAACTTGATTTTGTGCTTTGGAGAAGGTCTAACTTGGTTTTCAATTTGCAGAGCCAACATGATTAGTTGGAGGGTAAGTTTTTAGAGCAACAAGTAGAGTTGGAAGCTAAATATCAGAAGCTTTATGAACCACTTTACACAAAGGTGTGTGTTCTTCATTGGTATTGAGCATTGAATCATGTCTATTTATGAAATAGTTTTTTATTTATTTATTGAGCATGGATATAATATAGCCACCCCAACATGCCATGGGATAAGTCGGAACTTTGGGTGAGTATAATTGCTTTATTTGTGCCCTGTTTTTTTTATTATTCCAACTAAATGTTTTTTTTATTATTCCAATTAAATGTTTTTATTTTATTATTTCAGGCAAATGATGATGTAAGTTGTAAGGACCCGATTTTCATAACTCGAAAATTCTCTTTTAAAATCCTTATTCGTGAAAGTGAAGTGATTACTTTTGAAAGACATTACTCGAACAGTTTGGAAACTTACGTTTATAAATTTGCAAGGCGGAAATATTCCAAACACCCTTCATTTCAAAAGCATGTCATTACACTTCCGTTCAAATACATCCTTTATACAATTACACTTTCTCAAAATTACCTTCAATACAAACATTAGATCCACTTCAATATACACTTACAAGAAAGTTGTTTATACATGAATTCACTTTAACATGTTCTTCATATTACAAATATTTATCATATAACATATCAATTACATATTATCCGCTACTCTATCATGTACTCTTCTCCGCAAGCGTCCAATGCGCTACCTCCACAACCTGAACCCAAATATACAACACATACAAGGAAAGACAGAGGGAGTAAGAACCAACTACGGCGACCGTAGCGTGGATTTACATGGAGTAATGACATTAAAGTATTAAAACCACACACATCTAACATCAATCATGATATGCATATATCAATCAACACATATTATCCATATTCACCCTATAGTACACATATATTCCATACTATGTGTTCTATAGTGTGCATACTTATTCATCACATTTTATCCATATTCACCCTATAGTATACATACATCCCATACTATATGTGTTCTATAGTGTGCATATTTATTTTCATTCCGAGTATACACTTTTCATATCATTCACATTCCGTAATAATTTACCCTTGATCTCATTCAACAATTCTGTATCGTACAAATAATCCTCATACCACATCGGGCAGGTCGAGTAATACCCATACCACATCGGGTAGGTCGAGTTTCCACATTACACTCACATCCATGTCATACACAATCAACACAAGGCATCTCATTATTTTATCACCATAAATAACATACAACACCTTCATTGTTACAAACATACCTTTATCCATTTTAACACATTCACAGCTCATCACACATTCATTGTTACAACACACTTATACATGTTTATAACAATCAACCACTCACAACATACTCATTTTGATAAACATACTCATTCCCATTTAACGCATTCACAACTCATCACTCATTCACTGTTACACACACTTATACATGTTTATAACAATCAACCACTCACAACATACTCATTTTGATAAACATACTCATACCCATTTTAACACATTCACAACTCATCACACAACATAACTATTATCATAAACAAGCCACACATAACATATTCTTCATCATAAACACATTAACATTACAATCATCTTTAATGACGGTGTATTACCATAAATGAGCATATAGAGATTTACTTAAATAGACGGTTTTCCCCTACACATATATCTCCACTTTTATGGCTAATACATCCTCATGTAAAATAAAGACTCTCATATGGACCACAAACTCCCAAGAGAGTTTCTATCCGTTAATATGCTCCGATTCTTGAGGGAAATCGGAGATGATGACTCTAATGAAATACTCTAAGACCACAATGGTCTTCTCCCTCACCTTAGGTTGCGTAAGCTCCGTTGCTCCGCAAAAGAGCCACATCTCCCTTCATCTCCTCCAACCTCCATTGTTGCTTTTTCACCTCCAAGCTTTTCCAAATGTGTTACCATGAAGCAAGAGGAAGGTTTTGATGGGTTTTGAGGCTTAGTAGAGGGAAAAATGGTCCATTTGGGTGGAGCCACCGTTGGGAGAGAAATGGGAAGAAAGAAAATGAAGATTAGGGTTTCTAGGTCCCCTTTTTCACTTTTATAGTCACAGTGATGAGTGTAATCGATTACCATATGGTGTAATCGATTACATCAGTTAAAAATTTAAAATACAAACTCAACGACTCGATGTAATCGATTACCAAACATGTTGTAATCGATTACAATGTGAAAAATGCACATATCTGATGCTTTTAATATGTTGTAATTGATTACGAGTATAGTGTAATCGACATCATGTAAAATACACAGATCTGATTAGTTTATCAGCATGTAATCGATTACCAGTATTGTGTAATCGATTACACTGTTTCAGAGTGTCCAAAATTGCCATTTCTCGCCCAGGCGAGACAACTCTCTCTCAGGCGAGACTTCCAGGACTGATACTATAACTTTAAAGATTAAAATTCGGGGTGTTACATAAGTATGACTGATACACCTTTGGGTGCATGAAGATCATCTAGAGTTAACAACATTTAGGATATTTGTTATGTATTTTGTTGTTAAAGTGTAGTATGAGATTACTTTTAGTTTTTTGAGATTTTATGGAGTATTTGGGTTTATAATAGATGAATTATAACTCTTTCAACTCTGTTATGCTACCTTGGTTATTTGAAATACAAATTTATTATTGCTAAGAACAATTGTATTTAATATTGTATATTTAAATGATAATTATAAACTAATGAGATTAAAGTTGTGAAATTTATGAGATTAAATTGATGTTGAAATTCTCTAAAAACATATAATAGTTACCTTTCTCTTCATATGTTATTTCAATTAGTAGAGGTTGAAAATATCCACAATTAATTTTCTCAAATAGTGGAGGTTTAAAGCCTCCATGATAAACACTACAAAAAACCTCCGCATATGGTAGAGGTTTACAACCTCCACGGTAAATGCTGCAAAAAACTCCTCAAATAGTGGAGGGTAAAAACCTCCACAAATAGCGGAGGTTAAAAACCTCCTCAAATAGCAGAGGTTAAAAACCTCCACTAATAAACCACTACAAATTTGTCAATACCATAGGTTTTCTAAAACCTCCACTAAACTCTTCTAGCGGTAATAACTGTGGAGGTTTCTGAAACCTCCGCTAGTTATATTGTGGCGGTTAAAAACTTCAACTAAATGCAAAAAAAAACTCCACTAAATACAAAGTTTGTTGTAGTGATTGTACTATTCACCCGAATTGCATTTAAAATTAAGTTTTCTGGTTTCTATACCTCGATGTGCAATTCAAGCTTTCTAGGTCATCTACCTCGATATGCAATTCAAGTTTTCCAGTTCATATACCTCAAAATGTAATTTAAGCTTCCCCGGTTCTATACTATAATGGGAAATTTAAGCTTTTCAGATCCTATAGCACGTCGTGCAAATTAAGTTTTACGGGTCATATATCTCGATGTGTAATTCAAGCTATATGGATCATGTATCACACAATTTAAGCTTTACAGGTCTTTTACCCTTGATGTTAAATCATTCTTTTTAGGTAATAGAGTCTAATGTCCTTAAATCAAAAGTTAAAACCTGACATGTTTCAAAATCAAATATTTCAAGATCACGTGCTTAACGTGTTTCAAAATCATATTTTTCACGACCTTGTGACATGTTTAAAACCATACTTTTCAAGATGGTGAAGATAATTTAAATTTATATTCCCAAGTTTCGTGACTATCCTAACCTGTGTTATTGATTTTTATTTTATTTTCCTAAATCCCAACAGTACCCAACCTATGTCTTTGGTGTTTTTATTTTCCTAGGTTCTCGTAGTATCGATTCCTAATGTCTTGATTTTCCAATTTCCAGCAACGCCATGACCTGCGTCTTTAATACCCAACTTGTTTCCTAGTGTTTGTTTCCCAAGTTTTAGCAGTATCACGACCGGGTTCTTTGTTTATTTATCTTTCTGAATTCCAATAGTACCCCTACTTGGGTTTTGCCATGTTTTTATTTATTTCACCAAATTTCAAAAGTACCCCAACCTGCATCTTCACAAAGTTTCTTATTTATTTTCCTGAATTCCGACATTACCCAAACCTGCGTTTTCAGCTCTTTTAGCTTTCTCAACGATGTATTAAAATTTTGACCAGACAAGTTCCCTCAATGTTTGACAAAATTATTATTCATTTCTTTACTAGTTACTTACCATAATAACTCTCAAATATTAGTTTGTTTACAATCGTAAGAAATAAGTAAAGATGGGAGTTGTAAACACCTAATTTTATCCAATTCATGCTCTTAAAACTAAAATATGTAAATAATAGCAAATATTTAAATATATATATATATATATATAATAAAACCAGATCACTCATAAAGCATTTTTAATCAAATTTGATTCCATAAAAATAATATAATAAATGAAAGATTTTGATTTGAGAAATGAGATAATTTTATATTTTCACTCATAAAAAAATGGGTTTTGAAGCGATTTAATGGACACTTATTTAGCTTAATAATGATGAAATATCATTTCAAATTAATTTTCACTCCTAATTTTTACTTTCTAAATATAAAATAAAAAACATTTCAATGTTTAAATAGTCATTAATGGAGAAATATTATTTTGAAGGAAAAGTATATGTCAAATTAGGAATGACAACGGATCGGGTCGGGTTTGCGATTACCCAACCCCAAACCCGAACCCGAATTAAGCGGGGTTGGAAAAAATGATATCATCCCCGAACCCGTCAGGTTTCGGGTAACCAGAACCCGAAAAAAAACTTGTCCGCAACATATTTATATATATATAGCTTTTATATATGTCTTTATGTGTAATTTTATAATTTTACATATATTAATCGGGTTCAGAGCGAGTTCGGGGTAGGATATCAACAATATCAAACATGAACCCGAAAGTTGAACTCGGGTAAAACTCGAACCCGAACATAATCACTTCGGGTTTTCCCAATTAAATTCGGGTTGGGTTCAGGCGGGTACTCGAGGGCTTAGTTTTCATTGTCATCCATATGTCAAATATTCTAATTCAAACAAACCCTATAAATAGAAGGAAGAAACAACACAAATAGAAGTTTTTGTTCGTACACTTTCTTTTCATCCTCTCTTTTTATTTATTTATTTTAATTTCATTTTTAATAATAATAATTTTATTTTTTTATTATATAATTAAATAATGATTAATTTATTACTTTCAATCTTAAACAAATATTAATAAATAGTTTACTTTTATAAACAAATTG